TAAGAGCTTGGCTGCTAACCAAAAGGTCAGCAGTTCGAATCCACCAGCCACTGCTTGGAAACCCTATGGGGCAGTTCTACTCTGTCCTATAGGGTCACTATGAGTTGGAATCAACTTGAAGGGAATGAGTTTGGTTGTGGGTGAAATTTTTACAGAAGCAGATCTCCAGGTCTTTCTCCTGTGAAGCCACTGAATGTGTTTGAACCACCAACCTTTCGGTTAGCAACTGAGTTCTTAACCATTCATTCTTGCCCTTAGATATGCGGATTATGCCCTATCTGGTAGGGGTTCCATTGAGTTCCTGTCCCTCCTCCCTGGGAGAACCAGTTTTGTCTCTATTTGCATATTCATTTCAATATTTCTGATATATGAATTTGTTCTTTGGATTCTCTTTTGGACATCTTACAACATCTGCCTAGTTCCCTCACTGATTAATAAATAGAATGAAATCTAACACATGTTCATTTTTATATCTGTATGAGTTACAGTGTTACCTTTTTCTGAAAACTATCTTTTTTTATCACTTAGTCAAAATTTATTTCAACATTTGAAAATACTCAGACTAATCAAATTGTTATTACTGTAATATCTTATAATAACTTTTGAAAATGTAAATGTCATACTCTTACCTAACCCCTAAACAGTACACCAAGATTTTCAAAAGCAATGGCTATTTAATAAAATGCAAGATAACAATAACATAGCAAAGAACTTTCACATCTATCTGGACATAATTTGAAAATTGTCTTGTAGCATAACCAACATGAAAGAACTAATGAGACAAAACACTTTAAATACAGCTTGATTTGACAGTCCCATTCATAGATGCTAGAAAGTAAATGACTTAGCAATACGAAGGAGAGTAAATTATATTAATATTTAACGATGAGTAAAGAGCATGGTTAATCTTTAGTATTTTCAGATTATTTTTCAATTAAAAGGGATTTTTATGCATTTTAATCCAATTACAAATAAAAAATAATTACAGAAACTTTGAAAAGTACAGAAAAATATAAAAAGCAGCAAAAACCCTCTGATAATCTCATCATTAAAAATAACTTCTAGTCTTTTTTTTAAGCAATGTTTTATGTTGAGGTTATAATGTATGTCAATTAAATTCAGCTTTCTATACTTCTTCTAACCTAATCATTGAAATCTTGAAATTATTTTCCTGTAACAAATTCTTAATTGGTTTATGTCCCTTTACATTCTGATTCGTCTTCTTATATCTTGAAATACATACAATGGACTCTCCCATGGCCTGTCCTTTTGTCATTTAATTTCCAGCTGCATTCAGCTTCCCCTGATCAACATACTCTCCTCAAGTCCTGGCCATTTCCCAAATGAGTAGCCTGTGGACTCTCCAACTAACTACACTCTCCTCACAACACAGTTCTCATCCTCTGTGTCCCTGACCTTCTGCCATTAACACTTGAACCTCCTCCCCTGCTGCTGGTATCTCTAATCCTCCCATGATTCCTATTCTTTTTTCTTCTGATCCTCCCATGATTCCTATTCTTTTTTCTTCTGTTTTTTTTTTTAATGGAAAATTCTATAAAGTCTACCTTCATTCCTTAGTATATCTCTCCTCCTACCCACTGATTCATCACGTCACTGGTAAGTTTCTGGCAACCTAAGTACCTGTTGTATTTTGAAGAAACTTATGGTAGATTTCAAGGTTTCCAGGGACTTCTATAAAATCCTCATTCCCCTTTGCACTGGTAGAGGCCATCTCCAGGAGAAGTGCCAAATCATCATTAGGTGGCTGACTTGTGAAGGCAAAATGTTGTTTTTAAGTCTAGTCATGAAAGCACAGCAGAGGACTAAGATCTTTCCTGGAAGTCTCAGTCATCCTTCTTGCTGCCACCTATCTGTGTTCCTCTTACAGCCTAAATGATTGCCCAGCGTCTTAACACAGCTCTCTCCTGCCTTCTGCCCTCCTCGGCCCCTCCCAGCCTCTCGAGCACATATCAACAAATCCACCTCCTTTCCAGAGCTGCTGCTGGTTTGTTCTCAGAGCTGAAAAAGCCTCCTCTTTCTCTAATACCTCTCCTGAAGATGGAGTAGTCACCAATGGAAGCAACAACCTTCTCTCAGGAGAGGGTTCTGGGGCAGGGGTCCCCGCCAACTCATTCAGTTTCACCAGGTTATGGAGCTCAGAGTCTCTCACTGCTTCTCTGCTGATGTTGCAGAGCTCTCTCTGACAGAGGAGTTTGAGGCCTCCCTGCCTGCCAGGCAGCAGGCCCCAATAGGTGTACTCAGCACTTCCCCTGGGCTCCTGCTTGCTGATGCGCTGGAAGAGGTCCTGTTCCAGCTCCCTATAGTCATCTGAGTAATCAGGCATCTCCTCCTTGATCTTTGCCTAGAAAGGGCAAGTCCTTTCTGATCTTCTCAGGTGAGTCCCCCCAGAGCCCCAAGGGAAGACCCCTGTTCAGCATCATCTCCCCATAGTCCAGCAGCTGGGTGGGCCTCTGGGTAGGTGAGATAGGACCTGATGAGGCCCATCTTCTTGGGCTTACAGTTCTCTTTGTGTGGGCAGCTCAACAAGTAGCAGTGGCCCTCAAACCACCAGGCCAGGTCACAGCTGGAGAGGTCATAGCAAGCAGCTGTGCAGTCCATCACGGGGGTGGTTTGAGGCACCCGCATGACTCCAGTGGTTTCCAAGTTGGGTGAAATGATTGCATTAGAATACTTCCTTCCCTCAGTGCACTGCTTACAGTCACAACCTGCAAACAAGGGAGTCTCCAGTGAGGAAGAGAGGCATATTACAGGGAAGCAACCCTAGCTTAACAAATCAGAAAATAGAAATGTTATCAATCCCTGGTCAGTCTGGAAAGCAAATAAACAATTGGCATTTCCTATAGAAACACCACTGCATTATCTTACAGTCCGTCCATCCATCTACCCACCCATCCATCCATCCACCCATCTAGCCTTATATCTTTCTACTCTTCCTTCCATCCGTCCATCCATCTATGCATTCAACCATCCATCTATCCTTTTATTCTTCTACTCTTCTATTCACCCATCCATCCATCCATCCACCCACCCATCTATCCATCCATCTTCTCTTCAATTTCATTCCATTTAAACAGAAGCATTCTTCTCCACATGTGTATTCCTTTTATATTATTTACAATGTTTTGCTCCTCACCCAAAATTCAGTTTAAAAGTTTACTTGAGAAATAGTGTTGTGCATTTGCTATTGATATTTTTAATCTCATTAACTATTCTGATAGACCAAACTGATAGGAAAATATCAGAGAGAAAAACCTGTCCTCAGTACGAATCCATAATTAACTAGTTTTAATCAGATCTAAATAATGAACTACAAATGTTTCCATTCCATAATGTAGCAGGTATCAGAGTGGTTCTACACAACGTGTGGTCTGCAGGCTCAGTATTGCAGGTCCACGGACTCTAGTACTAGTCCAGGACAAAGTAAGGACAGAAACTAGGGCTTTTAGAAACTTCTATAGCAATTTGTCATTGCCTAAAATCCAAGTCCAAAATCACTTTTATTGTATTTCTTTTTTTTTTCCACAAAAGAATCCGTCTCTGACAAATTGGAAATAAAAACAAACTGGTCCTTAACCACATATAGTTTGAGAAGCACTGAATTAGCTTTCTGCTGCAGAACTCAGAATGGCAAGAGATCGTTTTCCTAGTGAGGGCTCATCACTGATACTTGTTTTAATAGTATTTTTCACACTGGAGACTGTCGGATTCCTTCTAACTGGAGGTAAGTGAACATGATTATATAAATTATAGGAATCATCTTAATTTTTACCTGTACCTACACCATCATTGTTACAGATGAAAGTTTAAAAATCACACAGTGACAAATATTGATTCTATAGGAAAGACAAATTGCTCTAGTTTAATAGGAATTCAATATAACAGACAGACATGCATCCTTCCCAATGAATAGGCTAGCAGCTAATTAATTCAACTGAAATGACATTTTTTCAAAGGCATGTCTATTTTTGGAAAAAAAAAACTCACCTAAATAATTTTAGCCTTATATTTTCTAGAGAAAAACTTAATCTCAGATATGGAGAAAATACAAGTAAACTCCAGCTGAACAAAATAAAATGGCATATATTCTCAAGATCAAGAGATGATCAAACACAAAAACCAAACCCATTGCCAATGAGTCAATTCCAACTCCTAGTGAAACTATAAGACAGAGTAGAACTGCCCCATTTTGGTTTCCAAGGGGTGGCTGGTGGCTTTGAACTACAGACTTTCTTTGGTTAGCAGCCAAGCTCTTAATCACTGCGCCACCAGGACTCCCAAGAGATTATGAGGGGTGTGAAATAGATAGGTAATTTCTAACTTCCAACTCTACTCTCAAAAATTTTGTCTTTACTAACAGACACAGAGGAAATGTTCACAGTCACTAACCAGAAGAGAAATGCAAATCAAAACTACAATGAGATACCATCTCACCCAAACATTACTGGCACGAATCAAAAAAATCTGAAAATAACAAATGTTGGAAAGGTTGTGGGGAGATTCAAACTCTTATGCACTGCTGGTGGGAATGCAAAATGATACAACCATTTTGGAAAATGATACGGCACTTCCTTAAAAAGCTAGAAATAGAAATACCATACGATCCAGCAATCCCACACCTAGGAATATATTCTAGAGAAATAAGAGCTGTCACATGAATAGACAAATGCACACCCATGTTCACTGCACATATTCACAATAGCAAAAAAGATGGTAACAGCCTAAATGCCCATCAAGAGATGAATGGATAAACAAATTATAGTACATACACACAATGGAATACTAAGCAACGACAAAGAACAATGGTGAGCCTGTGAAACGCCTCACAACACGGATGAATCTGGAGGGCATTATGCTGAGTGAAATAAGTCAATCACAAAAGGACAAATATTGTATGAGACTACTATTATAAAAACTTATAAAAAGGTTTACACACAGAAAGAAATAATCTTTGATGGTTACGAGGGAGGGGAGGGGTGGGGAGGGACAAAAACTAAGCAAATGATAGATAAATGGTAACTTTGGTGAAGGGTAAGACAGTACACAATACTGGGGAAGCCAGCACAACTTGATCAAGGCAAGGTCATGGAAGCATCACAGATGCATCCAAACTCCCTGAGGGACTGGGCTGAGGGCTGGGGGGACCATAGTCTTGCGGGACATCTAGCTCAATTGGCAAAACATAGTTTATAAGGAAAGTTCTATGTCCTGCTTTGGTGAGTAGCGTATGGGGTCTTAAAAGTTTGTGAGAGGCCATTTAAGATACTCCACTGGTCCTACCCAGTCTGGAGCAAGGGAGAATGAAGAAAACCAAAGACACAAGGGAAAGATTAGTCCAAAGGACTAATGAACCACAACCACCACAGCCACCACCACACTGAGTCCAGCATAACTAGATGGTGCCCAGCTACCACCACTGACTGCTCTGACAGGGATCACAATAGAGGGTCCTGGACAGAGCTGGAGAAAAATGCAGGACAAAATTCAAACTCACAAAAAAAGACCAGACTTACTGGTCTGACAGAGACTGGAGAAAACACTGAGAATATGGCCCTCAGACATCCTTTTAACTCAGTACTAAAGTCACTCCTGAGGTTCAACCTTCAGCCAAAGATTAGACAGGCCCATAAAACAAACAATAAATACACATAGCTCAACCATGTATATGAGATTAAATGGGCACAACAGCTCAGGGGCAAGGACGAGAAGGCAGAAGGGGACTGGAAAGCTGGACAAATGGAAATGCGGAACCCAGGGCAAGAAGTGGAGAGTGTTGACACATCGTGGGGTTGGCAACCAATGTCACAAAACAATATGTGTATTAATTGTTTAATGAGAAACTAATTTACTCTAAACCTTCACCTAAACCACACACACACACACAAACCTATTGAGGATGGCAAACTTAAAAATAGATCCTAGGTTGCTAGAGTTGAGCTGACTAATGAACTAACCCTAGAGCTGCCCTACCTTTGGACATTTTGTAATGTGAAATAATAAATGCTCTTACTGTTTAGGCTAAAAAAAAAATTGCCTTTATTTTCAGAGATACCACTACATCTCGTAGAGGTCTCTAAATGAAGACCCAAGAAAGAAAGTTGTTTTAGACCTAAATACCAGGATATGTTTTAGTTCCCTTGAGAAACTGTTGTTATCAGCTCCTTTTGTACAAAGTGATTCAAAGAAACGATCAGGTTTTATTTCTGACTCTGGCCACCAGAAAGCTCAGAGGCCAACTTCTAAAACATAGGAATCATTCATTGTACAAGGAAAAGGCTATGAATCCTGGAATAAGCAAATTGTATAAGTGAGCAAGAAGACCTTATGATGGCAAAAGCCATCAATTAAAAACTTAAAGCAGTTTTCAGTCTGGCTGGATGTGGAGACCTCAATACACCTCTGGGGCAGGTCTTTTATTCTGCAAAAATGTACCTGAATCAGCTGTATCAATATATAAACCTTAAAGCAGAGATCTTAATGATAAATAAAGAAGTTTGAGAAGGTATCAATATATAAACCTTAAGCAGAGATCTTAACGATAAAGAAGTTTGAGAAGGCAGGCTCCCAACAACTAAATCATTCTTCCTTTGTGCCAAGCTGCTATAATTACTTCACAATCTACTGAAAGCACCCATGAGAGCTCTTGAAGTACTGCCAAACTCCTAGAGAACAGGAAACTTGCCACCTATGATTGTGCTCTGTAAATTCCTAGCCCAGTCCATGAACATAGCAGGCACTCAATGGCTGTTGACAAATGAATAAACTTATTGGTTAGCATTTTGTCAAAGGGAAAGAGAATAGAGAGGGAAGAAAAGGAAACAGCAAATAACATTATTGGGGCTCAATAACTCAGGAACTGATAGTTTGAATTAATGGAGGACATCTCATAAGAAAAGGGCAAAAAGGCATGAAAAAGCGGGGATTTGAAAGAAGATAAAATGGCAGCTCAAACATTACCATATTCTCCAGTAGTACAGAGCACATTAAGCTCCAGGGTGTGAAGATAAAATGGGGCTTTTCCAATGGCAGCACTTCCTAAAGTGGCCCTCGCATAATCTAAAACAATGCTACTCACATATGGATGGGTATAGGCAATTTGGTATATGGGTAGGTACAGATACATACACAGGTGAGAACAGATAGAAGTATTTATACCAAACCAAACCTATTGCCGCCAAGTTGACTCCAACTCATGATGACCCTATGGGACAGAGTGGAGCTGCCCCACAGGATTTCCAAGGCTGTAAATCTTTGCAGAAGCAGACTGCCACATCTGTCTCCTGCCGAGCAGCTAGTGGGTTAGAGCCACTGATTTTTTGGTTGGCAACGAAGCGCTTTGACCACTGCACCACCAGAGTTCCTGAAGTATCTATAGGTACATGTCATCAAAGACACAAATATGGATAGTCCTCAGACATAACCAAACACCTTCCAACATTGGTTTTCTGGGTTTGAAGGCTTAGGGCCATAGTCTTATGAGACAACTGGCATAACATAGTTCACAAAAATCATGATCTGCATCCTAGTGAAGTGAGTGGCACCTGGGGCCTTAAAAGCTTGCGAGCAGCCATCTAAGACACAACTACAGGTCTCGACTTACCAGGAGCAAAACAGTAAGAATGAAACAAGCACAGAGGAAGAACAAGTCTACAAGAGCCACAACCTCATATACCCTGAGACCAGAAGAACTAGATGGTGTCTGGCTACCACCACTGCCCGTTCTGATCAGGGCTCAATAGTTGGTTCCGGATAGAGTGGGGAAAAAAATAGGGGGCAGAACTCAAATTGTTATTTAAAAAAAGCCAGACAAACTGGAACAGTAGAGAACAGAGGACCCCTAATACTACTGCTCTGAGACACTCTTTAAAGGTAGAACCGAGCCTATTCCCTGAGATCACCTTTTAGTGAAATAGCAGAGTGGCACACAAAATAAAGGATATTACCCCTAAGATTGGTGCCCTACTTAAAAACCATGAGTATAAGACCAAAAGGTCAACAATTTCTCAAAAGCAAAGATGAGAAGATAAGGGGGCAGGGAAACTAGAGTACTGGAAAGGGAACAAACAGAACACAATAAAGAGATTGTTGACATATTTTGATAAATGTAACTAATGTCACTGAGCAATTTGTGTGGAAATTGTCAAATGGGAACCTAATCTGCTGTGTAAACTTTCACCAAAAACTCAATAAAATATTATTAAAACAAAACAAAACAACAGAGCTTCTCAAAATTTAGGTGCTTCAGAATCATCTTCAGGTGCTTATTGACAATCCAGACTCCTGGCCACACTGCTAAGGGTTCTGACTGAGTAGGTATGGAGTGGGGCCTGGATGACCACATTGTAACAGAGTCTCTCTCAAGTGATCCTCATTAAGGCTTCACTACACTTTAACAAGGGTGGCTCAGTGGTAGAATTCTAGCCTTCTATGCAGGAGACCTGGGTTTAATTCTCGAACAATACACCACAAAGACAGCCACCACCTGCCTGTCAGTAGAGGCTTGTGTGTTGCTATGATGCAGAATAGGTTTCAGCAGAGCTTCCAGACTAAGACAGACTAGGAAGAAAGACCTGGCAATCTACGTCTGAAAAACCAGTCAATGAAAACCCTATGGGTCACAATGGTCCAATCCCATTGTACACGGGGGCACCATGAGTCAGAGGCCGACTTGATGGCAGCTAACTGCCACACAGCAACACTTTGACAAACCCTGGACTTAAAAAGTTTCTCGGGTCATATATCTACCCTCAGCCCCTGTATGTCAGAGAGGCTCAGTCGTCCAGCCATGGCATGGATCATAAGAACTGATGCTTATCAATTATTTTATGCAATGCTATAAGCAAATTAAATACATGAAAACACATGATAAAAGAGAGTCTGATCGTTTGCTTTCCAGAAAGATCTACTATGCAATTCTTTTAAATACAAAGTTTTCCCAATATATATGAAACGTGATGAAGTTTTTCCACCAAATAGTCATGATAATAAACAATTTAAATTCCTGTTTCCAAAAAACCACTCATGCATGAGGTCTGCCTTTCATGCCTTTTATATGTAAAATAGTATTGGAAAGCAAACACAAAGGACCTTCATCTTTTCAGGTTAATCTGAGTTACTTAAGCCAAAGATTGGGAGCTCAAGTCTGACCTGGTGTCACTGGACTAATGGTTTCCTACCTGCAATGTCACCAGCAGCAGCAATGAGGTGAGCGCACCTTTGGCCGAGGCCATTCTGCCTCACACAGTTGGGGGAGATAGGCTTCTGAGGTGGCCCTGAGGGGCATTCGGTGCAGACTGCCTTTGATGTTTCTTAGCAGCCAGCTTTGGCCTCAGAGAACTTCAAAGGAAAATCAGAAAAGAGACAGGAAAAAAAAAGAGGTAAATGTGTGGAAGCATACATGATTATTTCTATCATTTATCCATGTCAACAGGAGGCCTATCTGGTCACATTACAGGGTCATATCCCAGGCAAAAAGGAGCCTTGGTGTGGCAATGGTTAAGCACTCAGATGCTAACCGAAAAGTTGGTAGTTCGAACCCACCAGCAGCTCTGCGGAAGAAAAGACCTGGAGACCTGTAGATAGCTGCTCCTGTAAAGATTACAGCCTCGGAAACCCTATGAGGCAGTTTGTACTCTGTCTTATAGGGTCGCTATGAGTCGGAATCAACTCGACAGCACACAACAACAACATTCCAGGTAAACCATCCACCCAGAGAATTTGGCTCAAATAAGAAGAGGCAAGGGGCTTCACGCTTGTTTTCCTTACAACCCCCAAAATAGGAAGTAATGATGGAATAAGTCAAATCTCTATAGTTCATCAATTCTAACACATAAATATTTTCATATTTTACCATCTCTGAAATTGGGATATGTCTTATAATTGGAGTTGGCCAAGTGCCAGGCAGGATACAGCTGCTACTGCTTGTGCATGTACATCAAACACATAGAACTGGAGTCAGAGGCTTGGAAGAAAGTCCCATTTAAAGACAATATGAAGCATTCTTTTAAAATATGCTGCATCACTGACATTCACAGCTGCACAGAGGCAACATTGCTGGAAAAACACAGACATCAATAACTACACTGACAAATGATTTGGCAGAAATGGACCAAGAATGTGAAGAAATTTAGGAATGTCTTAACCAATTTATTTCACTTGTATCGTTGTCAGTTGCAGTTGAGTCAATTCCAACTCATGGTGACCCCACGTGCACAGAGTAGAACTGCTCCATAGTGTTTTCAAGGCTGTGAACTTTCAGAAGCAAATTGCCCGGTCTGTCTCCCGAGACTTCTCTGGGTGGGTTCAAACTGCCAACCTTTTGGCTCGTAGTCGAGTGCTTAAGCATCTGTGCCACCCAGGGACTCCTATTTCACTTTTATTTTCCTTTTTGGTATGTACAAAAATGATTCACGATAAAAATCTGTCTAAAGAAGCCTAAAATATCTCTTTAGATACTTACAAATATTCTATATAATAAGAAAGCAATGTGTCTTGATTTAATTTTAAGACAGCATTTTTTTCTTTCATGGAACAAGGTTGCTGCCCAGCCTACAGCAATCATTGGGGGAGGTGAAAGAGAGCTTGCAAGGGCCTAGTGTTATTAAGCTGAGTTAGACAAGAGACCAGGAAGCAGCCAGGTTAACAGCGACCTGAGGTAAAGTCAGGAAGTGGGTATAACACATCTCTGCATCAGGATAACAGAGGCCATCAGAATACCAGCTTCAAAAAGGAAAAGTGGAGAATGTAATCATTCACTAAGAGTCCCAAAACTTTCTTATCTAAAACCCCAGAGGAGGAACACCTTGCAGCAGTTTGCCACCAACTTCCTTTCCTTCCAGTGATGAAAGTACGGTTCAAGATGCAGACAGAAGGCAACATTGACCATCTCCCTTCTGCAGCCACTGCCCACTCCCTAACCAAAAGGTAAAGAGAAAAGTAACTGGCCCTCCAGAAATGGCATTTACTGAGCTGCCGAAGGAACTGGATCCTAGAAGAGCAAAGCTGCTGTAAGCTAGGAATAGCTCGTCAAGTAGCCCATGGATAAAGACTAGGCCTTCACCATATCAAATGGTACCTTCAGGCAAATTAAGAAAAGCCTATCTCTGGGCAGACACAGTGCCAAAGGCACCCAGCTTGGGAAATGGACTGTGGGCCAAATTTCCAATGTACTTACCTCCTTGGGGGATGCCTTGTGCAATGCACAACCTTCAAAATCACCCTGTACTTGGTGGCTCTGGAAATTACCAATATCTCAGTGTAAACTTAGAGTGCTCAGCAAAAAAAAAGCATTTCCTATGCCCAACAGCATATTTAAGGTTCTTTTATTCAGCATACCAGTATAAGCAAACAGCGGGTCCCCATTTTCTCAACATTAAAAGGCATATGGGCTAGATGTGATCAAAAGTCCATTCAGCTCTAGCAGTTTACAGATTTTGTTTCTTTAATACATATTTAGTACCTTATGGATTAAATTTCCCCATGCGTCTGTCAGTTTGTCGAACTGCAGGAGCTTGCATGTTGCTGCGATGCTGGAACCTATGCCACCAGTATTCAAATATCAACAAGGTTACCCGTGGTCGATGAGTTTCAGCTGAGCTTCCAGACTAAGACAGACTAGGAAGAAGGACCTGGCAGACTACTTCTGAAAAAATTAGCCAGTGAAAACCTTATGAATAGCAGTGGAACACTGTCTGATATAGTGCTGAAGATGAGCTACCTCCCCAAAGTAGAATACATGTTTAATGACGTGGGTGCAGTCAAACTTTTGGGACCTTCATTTACTGACATGGCAGGACTTAAAATGAGAAGAAATAGCTGCAAACATCCATTAATAATCCGAATACGGAATGTACAAAGTATGAATCTAGGAAAATTGGAAATCATCACAAATGAAATGGAACACATAAACATCAATATCCTAGCCATTAGTGAGCTGAAATGGACTGGTATTGGCCATTCTGAATCAGACAATCACATGGTCTACTATGCTGAGAATGACAAATTGAAGAGGAATGGCATAGCACTCATCATCAGAAAAAACATTTCAACATCTACCCTGAAGTACAATGCTGTCAGTGACAGAATGCTATCCATATGCCTACAAGGAAGACCAGTTAATATGACTACCATTCAAATTTACACACCAACCACTAAAGCCAAATTTGAATACAGTGAAGATTTTTACCAACTTCCTCAGTCTGAAATTGATTGAACATGCAATCAGGATGCATTGATAATTACTAGTGACTGGAATGTGAAAGTTGGAAACAAAGAAGAAGGATCGGCAGTTGGAAAACATGGCTTTGGTGATAGAAATGATGCTGGAGATGACATGATAGAATTTTTGCAAGACCAATGACTTCTTCATTGCAAATACCTTTTTTCAACAACATAAACGGTGACTATACATGTGGACCTCACCAGATGGACTATACAGGAAACAAATCAACTACATCTGTGGAAAGAAACTATTGAAAAACTCAATATCATCAGTCAGAACAAGGCCAGGGGCCGACTGTGGAACAGACCATCTATTGCTCCCATATACACGTTCAAGCTGAAGCTGAAGAAAATTAGAACCAAGTCCATGAGAGCCAAAATACAACCTTGAGTATATCTCAACTGAATTTAGAGACCATGTCAAAAACAGATTTGATGCACTGAACACTTATGACCAAAAACCAGAGGAGTTGTGGAATGACATCAAGGACACCATACATGAATAAAGCAAGAGGTCATTAAAATGGCAGGAAAGACAGAAAAGACCAAAATGGATGGCAGAAGAGACCTGAAACTTGCTCTTGAACGTTGAGTAGCTAAAGTAAAAGGAAGAAATGATAAAGTGAAAGAGCTGAACACAAGATTTCAAAGGGTAGCTCGAGAAGACAAAGTATTATAAAGAAATGTGCAAAGACCTGGAGTTAGAAAACCAAAAGGAAAGAACACACTCAGCATTTCTCAAGCTGAAAGAACTGAGGAAAAAATTCAAGCCTTGAGTTGCAATACTGAAGGATTCACTGGGCGAAATACTGAATGACACAGGAAGCATCAAAAGAAGATGGAAGGAATACACAGAGTCACTGTACCAAAAAGAATTGGTCAACGTTCAATCTTTTCAGGAGGTAGCATATGATCAGGAACCAATGGTACTTGAAGGAAGAAGTCCAAGTCTCACTGAAGGCACTGGCGAAAAACAAGGTTCCAGGAATTGACAGAATACCAACTGTTTCAACAAACAGATGCAGCACTGGAAGTGCTCACTTGCCTATGCCAAGAAATTTGGAGGACAGCTACCTGGCAGACCAACTGGAAGAGATCCATATTTGTGCCTATTGCAAAGAAAAGTGATCCAACCAAATGCAGAAATTATCAAGCAATATCATTAATATCACACACAAATAAAATTTTGCTGAAGATCATTCAAAAGTGGTTGCAGCAGTACATGGACAGGGAACTGCCAGAAATTCAAGCCAGATTCAGAAGAAGACGTGGAACAAGAGATATCATTGCTGACATTAGATGGATCCTGGCTGAAGCAGAGAATACCAGAAAGATGTTTACCTGTGTTTTAATTGACTATGCTAAGGCATTCAACTGTGTGGACATAACAAATTATGGGTAACATTGTGAAGAATGGGAATTTCAGAACACTTAATTGTGCTTATGAGGAACCTGTACATAGATCAAGAGATAGTTGATCGAACAGAACATGGGGATATTGAGTGGTTTAATGTCAGGAAAGGTGTGCATCAGGGTTGTATCCTTTCTCCATACTTACTCAATCTGTATGCTAATCTAATAATCCAAGAAGTTGGACTATATGAAGAAAAATGGGGCATCAGGATGGACGGAAGACTCATTAACAACGTGCACCATGCAGATGACACAATCCTGCTTGCTGAAAGTGAAGGAGACTTGAAGCACTTACTGATGAAGATCGAAGACTACAGCCATCGGGATGGATTAAACCTCAACATAAAGAAAACAAAAATCCTCACAACTGGATCAATAAGCAACATCATGATAAATGGAGAAAAGACTGAAGTTGTCAAGGATTTCATTTTACTTGGATCCACAATCAACACCCATGGAAGCAGCAGTCAAGAAATCAAACAACGGATTGCACTGGGCAAATCCGCTGCAAAAGACCTCTTCAAAGTGTTAAAAAGCAAAGATGTCACTTTAAGGACTAAGGTGAGCCTGACCCAAGCTATGGTATTTTCAATCGCCTTGTATGCATGTGAAAGCTGGGCAATGAATAAGAAAAACAGGAGAATTGACGCCT